CATCTAGACAGCTTCTGGGAAGAACAAGGAGGCAGAGTTGATGGTGCAATAGTTGAGAACAAAGCACGCTGAAGGCCGGAAGCAGAGTAGCAGCAGTTAGAATAAAGAGGAGTGGATGAACAGACCCGCGCATTGGTAGGTAAAAGACACTGAAGACCAAGGCCCCTGTAGTGAGTTTGATTTGATCCTCCTTTGTCTAACAGTATCTACAAATCATCAGTCTGAATATTAGCTTTTACTGCACAGAATTGTAAATGGTGACTCTGTTGAAATTTGAATTAAATGTGTTTTGACCCTGGGATATAAACTAAAATTGGTTTCAAGAATTAAATCCATATTATCAGCTTTCTTACTTTTCTGTCTTGCTTTAGTGATAGAATGTACAGTGCAAGGAGAAAAAAAAATGGTGATTCTTTGAATTACGGTAAATCAAAGTCACATGTGCACTGTAAATTATAAAGCAGTGAGCTTCGTTTCCATAAGCCACTAAGAAACTTAGTGTCTTCAAGCAGGTTCATGAATGGTGATGTTCAGACATTATGGGGGGACCTTAGAGATTATTAGTGTCACTCCCCTCATTTAGCAGATTAGGACACTAAGATTCAATGTGTAGATAATAATACTCAAACAATGGGATTGTCAAGTTCCCGTTGTACATTTTAAGAGAACCTTATGAAAGAATGGATGTAGGAGAAATGAAAGGATTCTTAAAGTTTCTTATTGGTAATAATAACAAAGAAGAGGCTGAAGTGATAGCCTTGAAGGAAATATTCATGTATTTTACATAGTTATCTCGTTTTCATACTACTAAAATGCTTATGAATAATTTGAAAGATTAAAAATATCACAATGACTACTTGGAAAACAATGGTAAAGCCCACTAGTTCTTAAATTTGGTGTATTTTATGTATTGTGAATGAAAGTACCTACATATCCCCAAAAGACTAGTATGTTTTGAAGCACAGATATGTTTGGAAAAAGGACACTTAATCTTTTAACCTTTCTAACACCTGTTGCTTTCAAACAGTGGTAACTAATTTCTGAAAGGGTAGTACCTCACAAACTCTTGTTTCTGTTAAGGCAACAGCCTTTTACCATATGTTTTGCAGAAAGTGGATTAACATACTTGAGAAATGAGAATCATGGTGCTCAAAAGGATTTAAGTAAATGTTGGGCCTTATTTGAGTGAAAATAATACCCCAGCAGAGAGAGACGATTTAGTTAATGAGTAAACATGGACGACATGTGTTTACTATTGTGTTAGGTCTCTATTTCACTTTGTCAAAATTAGTCCTTTTATTCCTCCATTTTGCACAATCTTAAAATGATACAAGCACTTTAATTTGCTTCTTAATAAATATTAACACTTCACCAAATAAAACAAGTAAAAACTATTTTAATATGAAAATTGAAAACATAGTAGTTAGGTTACAAGCATTCAGTGCTGCTTTATGATTATTTTCTCGGGTTATCAGCCAAGTTTGGCTTTTCTTCCTTCCTTGACTGCCACGTTACGTTTTTGCCTCGAAGCCATCCATTTTGCAGATATTGAATTTCTTTTGAGTACTATTTTTATACAATAAGCATCACTAAACCTCTGGATCTTGATAGCATTACTACGGAAGGAGAAAGAAGCTTTGTGTTAGTAATTACCTAACATTGTCAGAAGCTGACTGCAGGCCTCTTTCTAGTGATAACAGAATAACCACATAATGTAGCTTTATAGCACATGATTAATAGAAAATAATTACATGTCCTACAAAGGGATGCAATATTTCTTATAAATTGACTAGAATGGTTTCCTGTAGATTAAAGGACTCTTCATTATTTTATCAGCCCTCCTGAAGTACAGTCACTTGCCTATGTTAGCATTTCAGTTGATGTTAAGAGCCGAATGGAATGAAGGATACCAGATGGCAGATCTTCTTGTACCTGAGAGCTTGTGTGCCGTAAAGATGGCATGATGCTTCCTAACCTTTAAAAGATTTAGATGGTAGACTGGTATGGTTTTGTCTTTTTGTTTTTTGTTTACTTACAATAAAAAGTTTGAGGATTTTTTTTTCTCTTTAATGACCCACCTGTGACTTTAGAGAATAATACTAGAATTAGCATGTGGACTGCATGACAACATTGTATCGACTGCATTATTTCCCACTGTAAGTAATATGTCATTTACAATCACATTTGTTTGGAGATGGCAAAGAGGGAAGGCAAAGAAAAGCAAATTTCCATCTTCAGAAGGAAACCTTGTATGATATTGAATCTTCAGGCTGAAGTTTAGAATACTGTACTCCAAGAAGCATTTTCATTCCAATTTATAGGCTGCAAATGGTTTAATTGGGATTCATGGTGCTCAGGAGGCTCGTACAGTGGATGGTAATGATAAAAGTAAAAGCTCCTGTGTTTGCAGTCTTGTCGACACACTCTAATGGCTGCAGTGTAAATCCATAAATTTGCCTACTAGATTTTTATCTCACTATATTTTGTCTTATCTCCTAATTCCACACAGGAGTATTATATGGGATTATTTACGGATGTGAAGTAATAAACACTCTGGCTTTTATTTTTACCCTTTTCTGATTTAAATCTGTGATATTTAGAGTACTTTTATGAGATGTATGTTTCATATGTTTTTCAATTTATTTTAAATTAATTAAGTGAAGCATTTAAAATTATTTTAGTCTAATTTTTTTTTTAATGTAATGATACTTTTAAGGGTTTGTTTACAGCTGAATAAGCCCCTCCCTGCTGTTTACTAGTGTGCTTTCTGTCTAATGAACCTCACCCATCTACCGTCAGGCAGAGTTCTCTCAAGTGTGAAGTATATCATTGGTCTTTGTTGAAGTGATTTGTGGGAAATCAATATCTTAAGTTTGGATGTGAGTGAGATTTTTTTGAGAGCAATCATATGCCTTTACTTGACAACGCAGATTATAATAGAAGTAGAATATTATAAAGTAGTAAGGACTTTCTGGTTTATAATTTGAATCTAAACATTGAAACCCAGATGGAGCGCAGTTCTCTGGAAGCTGGGTCAGGTCATAATATGTCCTCTAACTTAATGTTTCCATGTCTACGATTTGGGGGAGCTATTCTTTTACTCTCTTCAAATAATTAAAGAAATTTGAAATTGACCTTAGGTAAGAGCTTTCGCATTCAGTTCTACCCTGTTAACTCTCCATTTTGAAATCTGAAAATGTAGGCCTTTGGCCTCTGGGAGGTTAAGTGCATTTGTTTTGCTAAGCATTAGGCTCTAATTATATTCATTGCCTTAAAAATTGGAAAGGGCAGTTTTATTAGGTACCTACGAGGATATAATGATTGTTAATCATAGCTTTCACTAAGTTGGTATTTTCTTCTGCTAAGTATGTCCTGCCTAGGTTGTAATTATCATCACTGAGTTCCAAGCATCAGAGTATTGTTGCTTACATAGTTTTATCCACTAAATCCACACTAGTCTGAAGAACTTTCAGACTTCTTTTGCGTCCACTACCTCATAAACCAAAGCTCACAGCTGTGCTCTCATTAGAATAAGTGCAAGACCAGCCTTGCCTTTCCCTTATCCCTCCACCTGGTATTTTCAGTAAACCTAACTCTGATAGTGCCCCCAGTTAAAAAAGCACCTATAGATTTTTATCTTATCCTTTCTCCATCAATAAGACTACATATCAATACATATGCTAATGTTGCTACATTTGTATTGAAGAATTGTATAATTTTTTCTCTCTGATGGTCAAGATCACCCTAATCAATACAAATGTTATGTCTCTGCTAGTATTAACATCTCTTCCCCAGATATAACTCAATATGCATATGCACATTTATCTATGACTCAGATGTTGGAAAATCATAACCTATTGAATTACTTTGGGGATAGATTTTAAAAATTTATCTTCTATGAAAAATTGAATTTGGGTCCTACCGTGCTTTTCCTGGAGTATTGCTTTTGGAAGATGAGATTCTTAAAACTTGTAATTCATTTTACTTTGTTGTATCTCAAGAAGCATAAATAAATCTGAGATAAGAATACATTAGTCAACTTGGCAGACACACAAGACTGGTCTGGAGTGTTCCCTATGCCTAAAGCAATGGTGTATCTGTCCATTGAGGAAAAGTGGGAAGAAAAGGAGGTACAGGTTTATCTCACATTGCAATGTCAACACAGAAGTGACTCATCAATCACTTTTTTTTTTTTTTTACAGCTACATTAATTTTTTTTCCCTTTATAACTTGGAATACTTTTATTTCCTTTGATATGCCATTATAAGGGTAAATCCAGTACCACCTTTAAATTCTGTCTACCCATCCTTTATCTGAGGTGGTTTATGATCAATAAAAGGACCAGTGAGTATCTTAGAGAAGCAGTTTTTTAAAGGAGTCTTTTGTGAATTGTTTAATAAAGCATTACTTTCTCTGTGTTATTAGTATTTCCTTACTCTCAAATTTATCTGTTTAAAATATGCCTACTCATATTTCAGTTCCTTAAGAAAGGGCACACATATACATTCTAAATCACTGTAGACAATAGGAGTTTAAGAATTAGGTAGTTTATTGTGGAAATTTTTTTTTAATCTGTATTAGATTATAAGCTTCTTAAAGGTGAGTATAGTGTCCTGAGGATGCTTGCTTTAACCTCTTAGTCAGTAGCCCGGTTCTTGCACATACGAGGTGTCGCCTATGCTGTGTGGAAAGAGAGTAAGGAAGGGGGCCCAGGTAGTCTATTCCTTAGCTGGTTTCATTTTCTAGGTTATTATCATAAGAGACTGTTTCTGTGTTCTATGCTATGTAATAAGCAGGCTTTGTCTTATTCCTTAATTTAAATCTTTGCCTAACAGCATTTTTTAAGTGTGTCCAGAAACAAAAAAGATTAAAATGTTTCAATTTTCAGTTCAAGCTCTTGTAACTTTATAAAAGGAAATAACATTTCTAAGAAGTTGCATACAAACGACATTGTACTTACACCAGTCTAAAGGTTAATATTGCATATTGTTTTCAATTAGGAATACAATAGATATGGCTGGTGGGTAGGAGAAATGAAGGGAGCCATTGGCTTGGTGCCTAAAGCCTACATAATGGAGATGTATGATATTTGAGAGTCTTGGGTAAGTACATTTTAATCCAATATTCTGTAATAGCTCATATGTTCTCTTGTTCTCTGCCTTCTGAGACTTGACTTTGTAGTTTTCTGTTAACACAGAGATTGTGCCCAAATATTTTTCTTGTTTTCTTTTATCTGGCTTGATTTAAAAAAATAATAATAATTTCATAGAATTTACTTTGGAAATGAACAGAGAAAGTTCCTGTGATAGTAGCCAACTGTTGGCCCAAACCTCCTCCTCTTTAGTAAAATACCATTTTTATGGTCTTTCTAAGGAGCTGAATTGAGAAAATGTGGACTAAACATTCATCTATCCTTACTTAAAAAATGTAATTTTTTCCCTAAGCAGGAAAAGTAACTATTTAGACCGAAGAAAGAAATTAAAATGCCCCTTTCCGTTTCTACCTGAAGATGGAAGATTCCTGTGCTCGTGGGCAAGTGCTTTGGCTTCAGAAGCATTGTGAAAGCATGAGTGACAGCTCGTAACCTTTCTTTGTTTTGTGGAACATCATTTGTCTTCCACTGTTAGTTTATGCATTTGTTACAGTGTTCCTCTGATGTGAAATTAAGTGAAGGGTATTAATGTAAATTAGATGCAAACAGTGAAGTTACACCTGTTGCTTTTTTTGCAAAGTAATAATTGTAGTTTTTATTTACCCATCTGATTTGTGTGAAGAATTCACTGTTTTATATGTACTACCTACATAGTTACTGTTACTTTAAATTAATTATTTTTTAGGATTTAATATATAATGACATAGAAATTTTAATTGACTATATCAGACAGTGTTTTGATAGATGCTATCAAAGAATGTGGCTTTGTTAAGGCTTTGTAGATGCTTTTTATCTTTAGTATTTATTTTTCATACAATCGTCATATGTTCTCCTGAAGGAATTTTTACTAGTGGGCAGCTTTACTTCCTGTTGAATAGAGCCACAAGAAAGAAAAAATAACAGAACTAAGTGTGGCAGTGAAGACATATGCCATGCCAACGAGAAACATGATTTGTGCAGATCACTTTATCAATAATACATGTTCAGATTACATGCTGGGCTTGCCACCATTTTGTACCATAGTTTTGTTTAAATGTAGTAAAATAAAAAGATTTATGAGACTCACCATTCAACACGTATACAACAGTATAAAAAAATCTCAATGTATTCCCACAGTAAAAAGGCATAACCAAGCGCTGTCTTATCCTGCCTTATCATTGCTGGGCTATTAAAGTCCCACCAGGAAGCAGAACTCCATTTTCAAAGTCTTCTCTACCTTCTCAGACTATTGAGGAGCAAGAAAGCTCAGAGAGGCAGTGGAGAGATGACAGTGGTACATTGTAACATCTGCCAACCAGTGAGTGTAAGGGTAGTCAGCCTGATGGCGGAGTCAACATGCTGTGCTGCCTGAACCAGATTTGTAGAATTATATTACAACCTGTTCAGGTACATTGAAAGCTAAAGGTATTTTAAATGCTTACAAGGTAACATTATGACCTTAATATATATCAGAATGCACTATATCAGACAGCTGATTGAATAATGATTTGGAGTAGATATAATCTCCTAATATCGAATCATTAATTTGTACGTACTATCATTGATTAGTAGGTACTTTTCACATCTTTGCTTTATAACGATTCTAACCATGCAGGTAAACCAATAGTATTTTAAGCCTCCATTATTCATGTAAAACTATATTCAACCCATTATTTCAGAGGGTATATTTTATCATTATCCCCTTGGTACTGTGATCATCCAATTTCAAATGTTCAAGAAAAATCATACTGTTCAGGGTTGTGTGTAAACTCTAGTTTATACAAATACACATCTTCAAGTTAAAGCATTCAGAAATTAACACTCATGCCGTCATTTGCCTTTTCCGAATATAGTGTCGTTGAAATGATGTTGTGGAAGTTGGACAAACTGGAAATAAATTTAGTAGACTGGTTTCCAAAGCCTGAGTAGTTGAAAAGCAAAAGCAGTGGTGGTTGCACTGCAACTGTAGCCAGCCAGCCTGGCTGTGGATACAGATTTCGTGCATCCGGTTCAAGTGAAGTTTTGAGTACTAGGCCAGTAGGTGGCAGCAGCTTTTCATTACATACAAACCCATTTGGACGCCCCCTCCCCCATGCAGGCACAAACACACAGAATGTAAAACATTTAGAAGAAAGCTGCCTCTTTTTACAGTTAATCCAGGAGAGGGAGTCCTTCCCCAACTGATGACCAACAATTCCTGGCCAGATAGTCTTTCTGTGGCCAGTGACAATACAGAAATGAAGTGTTACTTTTTGTCCGCTCCCCTTGCCTTTGTTCTTTTTTAACTTGAATAAAGGTGGGAGATATAAGGAAACACAAGATTTAAAATCAGAATGATAGGGAAAATAATCATTGCTGTCAGTTCATGACTGCGTATAGTCATTTGGTGAAATCATTTGTATACTACCAAGGAGAAAGTTTCCTTTACACCCTTGACAATACATCACACACTCGTCAAGATCATCATAATGTCATTAATGTGAAGTTAAACAACATAGCTTGTTAGAAAATATGCTCATTGCTGTGTTCTCATTATGTTTGCTTAGCTTTTATTTGTTTTTCTATGAACAGTTAGAGAGCTAATTTTTTCAAAGGTGATTGTAAGTCATATTTTATATAGCATTTTGCTTGATTATTTGCTCTGTACCAAATTTGTACTCTATTGCCATTAGATCTTACAATAATGTTCCACTCTGCAAATTTTTAAGGTTCAAATAAAGTTTAATTGTTTGCAAACTGTTATGATGCTAATAATTCAACAGCCTGCTGTGTTACTAATGAAATTACTTTGTTATGATTAATTTGGAAAATAGTGTGTTGATTGTAGTAATTAAGCACAACAAGGTGAAGTAAATGATTCTAATGCCATCTGGCCTCCAAACTGAATGAAGAAATGAAATAGGGCTGTCATCTGAATTTATTCAGAGAAGTAAGGATAATACAAATGACTTTGGTTGCTGTAGCATTTAGACTGCACCACGGCTCACACTTCTTTCTGGTTTTGCCTCTTTGCTGCCTATAACATTTTCTTTTATGAAAAAGAGTGTTTCGCCCAGCAGTTATTTGGAATACTTTGTTTGATTTTGAACTGATTATTTTTACCTTCTACTATTTTAATTACAGATCATTGTAGAAAGTATTGTAGGATCATAGACAATTATTTTCAGCTCTCTGTAGGTTAAATCTATATATGCAGATTCTTTTGTGGTGTTGCCGTCAATATACAAACACCTGAATATACCCTGGTCACAAAGAGTAAAGCTTTAGTTCAATTGTTTCTAAAATGTTTAGAGTCAAAGCTCTCTCATAGGTCTTATGATTTCTACTCTTCCTGTTGTTTCTTCCAGTGTGATCTGTTGCTGTTTACTTTATAGAGTCTGGTACTATCCAGGATCGTGCTGGGAAACAGAACTGGGTAACATATAGATCTGGATTTGCAGCTCACTGGTATAGGAACACAGACATTAATATAACTGTAGTTTAAAAATTGGAACTTCACCGGTGAGACTGAATGAAACATTGTACGAATTTTTAAATCAAGTAAAATACTTCTAAGTTTTACATAAATCAATTGCTTGTACTTCAACTGTTGGGTAGAATTATAGACAGAAACCTAATAGAAATTACTTCTCTTGCATTCAATAGATTCAACAATATTGAAAAGCAATCCACATGGTAAAAAGGGAGGTGGGGGGATTAAAATATGGTCAAACCATAGAAAACATAGCTTCCCCAGAGAAGGACTATGATTAATATACACAACATAAAAACATACATTACGATGGCCTAGTATGCCAGTAAAATCCTAAGTCTTCCAAACTACAGAGAAACAAATAAGTAGTGTATGATTAAAATATTAAAGTTTAATATACATTCAAACCCTGAAACAGTTGACCACCTGGGTGGGAGAGCAAGGGATTCTTGAATCCTCAGCTGGAGCCAACATGATCACCCACTGCCTTCTGGGTGAGTTCTTCCAGAATTTCTGGTAGTGCCCACGGTGGTGCAATGCTTTGATTTGCTAAGATAAACATGTAGAAAATTAGGTGACATCAGTAACATGGATATTTCATTATTGCTCTCTTTAAGGAACTTTGTTTTGACTAGTATAATCTGCTCTGTCACTACTTGGGCACAAATACATGACTTCTTATTGCCAGTATAATACAGAGTATATGGTAGACATCCAGTAAGTATTTGTTGATTAACTGATTTTGCACCCCACAATTATCTTCAGACCGGTGGTTTAAGAAGAAAAAGAGCTTGATTTCCATACCTCGTAGAGAAAATGCCATTATACAGTTGGTGCATCAACTTTCTGCCAGAGAATATTCTCTTAGTCAAAACATCAGTCCCTTTTACTGAGTCCCCATAATGCCATCAACAAGTGGACTCATTTGACTGTTAGGAACAGAATTGAGATTGTGAATAACCGGGAAGTTGAGTTGTGACAGATAATCTTACTTTGCCTGTGCTTGGTGTTGTGACTCCAAGAAGGCACAGGAGGCTCAGAGCAACTTGGGCGCTGTGCTGTGATGGGGTTTCCCTTTCCAGTGGGTCCTGAATCACGGCAGCCCTGTGCTTCATCTGAGCGAACTCAGAGAAGACTTTCCTCCTGCCTCCTGATCATGGAAGCAATCTGTCACCTTGAATGAGTCAAAAAGGAATTTCTGAAAGTAGGGAGTTTTGCAGCTATTGCCAAATCCAACCATCATTCAATTTTTGTCTGATTTTTCTCTTTTCTCCTTAACCTTAACTCCCCATTTCTTTACATTTGTATGCTTGCATTAACTCGCGTGATTTGAGTCTCCCAAGATGAGAGAAAACAGAAAGGCAGAAAGTAGTCTAAGTTGTACAGTTGTTCATCTTAGGCCTGGAATATTGGGAACAGGGCTAGAAATCACAAAATTTCTGAATATGTACAAAGATGTTAAAATAGACACTTCCCCCAAAGTACATCTTCTTAAGTGCTTTTCTTAACACTGGAACCTTGGGAGATGTTTCCTTAGGTTTCTCTCCTCTCTGTTCTCATAGTTTTCTGTTTTATTATCCATTACTCAGATAAGATAGCGTTCCAGTTGTCTGTTTTCTGTTTATTGGCCTCAATTTTGTAATATAAAAATATCACTCCTGCTACAATAAAAGCAGGTGCCATTTTGTAGTTTGAGCAGCAGTTTACCTCGTTTGAGGAAAGTGTCACACAGGTACTTGCAAAGGAGAAAACTAATGACACCAATGCATTCTAAAACTAATGGTTGTTTTAGAAGAGAGATAGTCCAACAAATAAGCAGATTCCTAGATACTGTCACTTTCTCCCAGACCCCACAGGAAGGAGTTCACTCTGACAACCTCCTGTCTTTGAGTGTTTTTAAACCATCATGTCAAATGTAATGACAACAATTTAACAAAAATGCTAATAATACTAATAATAGTATAACGTTTACTGAATGTTTCCTATGTATCACACTGTGTACTTTTCATTTAATCCTTATAACTGCCCCAGGAGAGACATTCTGTTATTTATTCCCATTTTACTGATTAGGAAACAGGGTAAGTAATTTGCCCAGAGTTTCTAGGGGTAGATAGTTGACCAGCCAGGCCTCACTCCCCAGTCCCCACCCCTCTCCTGAATTCACCATTCTGCAGCTTAGTACTGTGATGGATTCAAACCAAATGCTTA